TTAAAAAAAAAAAAAAAAAAAAAAATTAAATTAAATGAAAGCACAGGGCTCCCAGTACACCACTGTGCAAAAGGCTGGAATTGTACTGAATGGATCCCAGCGCAGGCGCCTCCCTATCTGTTACCTCTTACAGTTCCCACAGTCCCCTCCCTACCTGGTGCCCAGGAAGCAGCAGAATCCAGGACATGCGTGTTTGTGAAAATAAACCAAGTTTCCCTTAGCAGCAAATATATATAGATTCAGAATATTCAGAATGTTCAAAATGGAATTATTTTGTTGTTGTTGTTTAAAGGTTGACCCTGTGCTGAGAAAGCAAGAATTCTCCTACTTGATGGCCTTTGAACTGAAGTATCAGCTTCTTCCAGCCGGCCAGCCTGGGGACTTTAACTGGGACATCAGGTCTGCAGATTTTATTTTTAATATACCTATATTTATTTCAGAGATAGGGAGAGAGAGAAACATCAATGATGAGAGAGTCATTGATGGGCTGCCTCCTGCATGCCCGACTGGGGATCGATCCCAAAACCCAGTCATGTGCCCTGACCAGGAATCGAACCACCATCTCCTGGATCCTAGGTCCATGCTCAACCGCTGAGCCACACCGGCCGCGCTAAAATGCGATTCGTTACATAGCCAGCCTCCCTTTTGTTTGCCATTAAAAACATTACCTACATAAGACGCTGTCTATGTGATCACGTTCTCGGGAACACAGATTGCTGAAATGACGTGTGTGTTACACATGTGCAGGCCTTTGCATCCAAAAGGGAAGTTGCTGATGGCTCTGCTATTCGGATTGTAGCCGGGACCCACCTACGGAGGGAGAACGCTCGAGAATTAAGATCTCAGAGGTCTTCAGGAATCTTCCGGGCCAAACCTTTCCCTTTTTAAAACCTCAGGATGCGCCTGGAATCACAGCTGGTGAGACCCGCTGTGGACCTGCAGCTGCAGACTCCCTCACCTCAGCGCACTCCCTGCGAAGCGGCCCTTTCGGGTGCTTAGGGGCTCTGCGCGCAATGGAACCAGTTCGCTGGGCTTCCTTCGTCACCTAGCTGCGGGCTGGGCCTTCTGCAAATGCACCAGCCAGCGGCTGCTGCGCCGGCACAGGCTGACATCTAAGGGGCGTAGGTCCTTCCGCTCGGCGGCCGGC